CATATAAAATAGCATTTAAAAAATTAATTTTGTACAACCAAGGATAGCAGTAACGTATCTGGGGTATTTTTCATTACATTTAAAAAAAAATACCTTAAATCTACTCTTCATTTTAAAATCTCATATATATGTATAAATTACTTTGAATTTGTCAGGATTGCAACCTCTTCTTATTTGCAATTTTAGCCTGAATTCTTATAAACTCATATGTAAATGTTAGACTCCTTGGCTGGATATTTAAAAAAAAAATGGAATTAAATATTTAACTTGATGTCATTGCTTTTGCAAGCTTAGTTTTTCAACATGGAAGTAACTGCTCTGCTCTGGCTCGGAATTACTCTGTCAGCATGAAAATAACAAAATATATCTTTCTGGATATCGTTTAAAGGCGATGCTATCGTTCCTAATTCCATCATGTCTCGTACTACTGTGCAGAGTTAGCCACACCGGGAGGCTGGTGTCTTTCAGACTCCCAAGATCAGCTGGGGCTCCATACTTGATTAAAGGAGCCCACAGAACTCGCTAGAAGCTACTCTATGCATTGTCACGGTTTTCAACGGGGAAGGGGTGTGTTAAAAACATCCAAGGAAAACGACGCGTGGGGTCGTCTAGCAGGTGCGTCACTCTCTCAGGAGGGCTGTGAACTGGGGATCCTTCCTGAGACTCAGCGCCGGCAGTTTTTGCCGGGCTCTGCTACGTAGGCACCACCGACGCCTGTCCACAGGGCCGACTCCAGCCTCCAGGCAGACTGCTGCGCCGCAGACGCCCCGGCCGGATGCACACGGTGGTCTTCCTGGTGTAGCCACCCCCGCCCCAGCGTCCCTGGCTGGGAGCAGCTCCGCACTCCGCAGAGTCGTGCCTGCCGGGTGCGCCACCATCGTTTCCCAGGAGTGAGGGCACAGGCCGGACCTCTCGTTGGGCAGGGCCAGGTTCTTCACTGATCACACATTTTGACCATTTCTCTTCTTACTAGTAACGTCACAAAGAGAATAAAGATGGCATCACCTTTAAACTGTATCAAAAATACATATAAAATTATATCATAATGTAAATATTATCAGCTAGCAGAGGGACTATATAAAGGATTTTCTAAGCACCATCCTATGTGTCATTAATATTCTCTCTACATTAAAAAATTAAGGAGATGGTATTATTTAAAACAAAAAGCACTTTACCTGTGAAAGGTTAAATACGACAACTCTCGTTTATGAAGATGGTGGGCTGTCCGGGTACGTATTAACGCACAGTTCCGCAGCGGTTACGCCTTCCCTAGAGAGAGCGGCAAACTCTGCTGGCCCCCAGCACCCTCACCGCAAATGCATTTGATTAATGCACCGCGGCTCGTCATTTCAGATTTCTGGCTGCTACAGAGGGGAAGTTTCCTGAAAAACTGTCTTCAAAGGTCCAGCCCTGCAGACTTCAGAAGAAAACATAGATACTTTGAATAACCTCTGGGTGTCTTTATTAAAAATCAATTAATACAACTAATATGAGAATTAATACACACGATTAATACAAGAATTCTAAATCTTAAAGCGTCAGTCTTCACAAGTGGATGTTAAATCAATTTGCATTTTTATGCAGAAAACAATTATGTGTTAAAAGCTTTCCCTTTCCACGTCACAGTGACGTCTACCCCAGGCGGTGGTGATCCCGGCTGTGGGCGGGGACGGGGAGAGAGGGCACCTAGGAGGGACTTTCACGTTAGATGTCACCTCCCTCCCCTTCTAAAGTATATAGTAAGTGTTCATTAAATGCACATGGTTATAATTCTACCACTAATAATCGTGATTGTTTTGCTCAGTGTAGATGGAAACTGAGAACTTGGAAAAGACATTTTTTACAACTTACATCCAAAAACTTAATCTTAAGAAGCTGCATGTGATCACATTCCTTCTCTGCATTCCAAACTGGTTTAACCTGTCGTCTGGATGTTTATTTCAGCCTATGAACTGCAGAACTGCCCAGACCCGCCCCCGTTTCAGAACGGGTACATGATCAACTCAGACTACAGCGTGGGGCAGTCCGTCTCCTTCCAGTGCTACCCTGGGTACGTTCTCATCGGCCAGGCCGTCCTCACCTGCCAGCACGGCATCAACAGGAACTGGAACCACCCTTTTCCCCGATGTGATGGTAGGTGAATCATTTTTCCTGGGAGCAATTTAAATTTTCATGGACATAATAGTGCTCTGAACATTAAATGAACGTATCTAATAATTCATTAATTCAACAAATATTTATTGAGAATCTGTTATGTTATACTCACTCCACTTATATGGAAAATATATCCTATACCAGTACGTTTAAAAAATACCAGCCCTTGTTCTCAAATAAATTATAAGGATAACAAAACAGTAGACACCAATAATTACAATGTGAAAGCAGACACAAGGAGAGGGTTACGACGAGGTGTAAGAAGGCGGCATACGCTTGGGAATTGGCGAAATCTTTCTGAAGTCAGCAGCGTTTAGTTTTACAGCGGTTACTCCAAATTGTGGGATCAGAGGGGACAAAGGTACGTATTAATTTTGTCTTAGGTATTTTTAATTGTTTAACTTTTATGCTAATCATATATAGGTTTTGTATTTCACAAAAATGAGTTCATTTTTGTATCGGGCCTGAAGGGTACAGAATATTTTGCCACTCAGAGGTGAGAACATTCCAGGTGGAAGAAACGGGGTGAGCAAAGATGCGGTCTTGGGGAAAACAAAAGTGCCGTTGAATAGTGCGTGACGACCGGGGTTCTTGGGAGAGGTTGGAAACTGGGCAGTGGTGCGGGGGACTCATTCGATGTCCCTCCTCGGAGCTGGAATTGCTGCTTTATAGCTTCTGTACGGCCACTTAATTTTTATGATGACTTAGACGTTTTTGTAATATCAGCTACATGAATAGATCAGTGCTGTGCTTATGAAGGATGCATATGTAACAGGAAATTTACTGTGAATTCAATATTCTGACATTATAAACACAGTACCTTCGAATGAAAAAATAATGAAATTACCAACGCTGGACCTTTGAAATGCTAAACTTATATCCCACGGGGAGAGGGAAAGACATCTAGCTGTGTTTGAATTTCTTCTGAAGAAGTAAAAAAAAGCGTATCAGTAGACTTTTTAAATCATAGTTTTCACCTGTATTTTCCCATTCTATATCATCGAAACAACTATGGAAAAGCCCTTTAGCTATATTTTTTAAATTTCCTTATCTTAATCTAATATTTAT